CAGACACAATTTTACATGTCCGACTGGACAAGTCCCATCTGGTCCTCATCCATTCGGACCTCCGGGTATCCATGGGGGACCACCAAACTTACCATAGTAATGTATATTTTTTACACCATCAGAAAGTAGAGATTTCAACGAAGAAAATGCCCACCGACGTTTTTAAAAAAGCAGATATTTTGACGTGAGAATTTTCGATTGAAAATTAGGGTGCTTTTTCGATATTAAGTAAAAATAAGGTGAAAAAATAAATATTTCAAATCAAAAAAATTACAGCGTCTTTGGGACATAAATAGGTAAGTTTTCACCAAATTTCGTGAAAAAAAAAATTGTAAAAGATAAAAATAAAAAACCAAGAACTTGGTTATTTGAATTTTTCACATAAATTTTGAGGTTAAGTGAAAAAAGTGTAAATACAAAAGATCTTTTTATTACCTACAACTTTGCTATTTAACTTTTTTTCCATAAGACTTGTAGTTTTTCCGGAAATCAAGGGAAACGGTTTTTTACCCTTAAAAACTCATCCCCCTCCCCTTCCCGACCTTAGATCGCCCGTAAATTATTTTTCCTTTCATTTCTGTTATATTCTCTTTCTTTTGCAAAAGGTTTCATCCTACTATAATTTTTTTTGGTTTCAAAAATTATCGACCCTGGTCTATTGTATTTTATGGTATGCTATACACCCAGTTATGTTGAAGATTTTGATAATTTTTTTTTCTCGGAAATGGTTGAGTTTAGGACCCATGCCATGTACGGTTTTTTTGTTTATTTTAATATATACTATCGTCTGTTAAAATTAAGGCAGTCAAACTTCTAACACCCTGTATAATTTCCTAAAACTTCAGCATTCACTATTTATTTTTCTTTGTAGACAAAGGTAACGAGGATTTAGAATCTTCTGTAAATAACCTTGTACATACAAGGAAAAGTTGTTTATTTTGGTAATGCTTAATGGGACATTTACTGGTTGGTTCAGGTCATTAAACACGTTTAGGAATTTAATATGATTTACTTTGTTTACCTAAATGATTATCATCATTAACACGAAACAACATTAACTTAAAAGATAATAATAGATTATAGTATTAAACATTAATTATATTATAATGAGTTCTGGTTTATCTGTCAATAAATATGAAATACTGTAAACAAGTTAATATTCATTTCTTTACAAAAATCTAGATTTTCCTTATACTAAACTGAGAAATTTTGTTGGCCACCACATTTCCAGTATATCGATTTGTACGAACGAAAAAAAGATATAGAATAATTTGACGACTAACTTGACAAATGTCGAGTTATTTTAATTGTTTTTAGAGTTTTTCTGGCCTTGGCCAATTTGATAACAGGTCTGATACTAGAAACACTGTCTAAAAAATTGAAAACTGCAAATATCTCTAAAAGAACTAACGGCAACCCTAACATTGCTTACATGGCTTGAAAGGAAATTTCAATATGCATACGACAGAGTAAAAAAAAATACGGGTTGTTTCACTTAAGTTAACAAAGTTATAGCTGGTTGAAGTTATCAAAATGTAACATCAAAAATGAAACGCCTAGTATTAAATGTTTTAATTTGTCGGTATACCATAATGTAGTGTTACCTATGCCATTCACAGGCACCAAAAATCCCCTTGATATCACGCTCCTGAAAAGAATTACTAGCATCTCCGCGGACCCTTGCATCTGTCAAATTTTTTCTTTAAAAGTTAATATCTGAAAATCTATAACTCCTAGGTATAGGAAATATTTAATAAAGTGACCCTCAAATTTCACGTAGAATCCGAAAATGCAATAATATATACGGTGTCCCATTTAAAATAAGAAAGTTAATATCGACTTCCAGAATAACGGGAAGAGTCATAGAGTTCTAAATATCTTATCTGTGTTGGACCTACTATCTTTGCTAGGTTGCCAAATTTTCATATTTATCGGATCAGTACTTTCCGAAATATCGATAGTGACGGTTCCTGACTGAACACCCTGTATTTAACGCAACATGACACGTGTGGCAAATTATATTTCGTTCATATAACGTATTTTTTTTCTAATGTGTAACGATTAGTATAACCTTATAATTTAAACAGGCAAAATAAAACACAAACATGCTGTGAATATATTTAATATAAAGTCTATATTATATTATTAGTGGTTAGAATAGGTACCTATGCATTTGTTTTCATCATCAAACCGTTTACTCAATACAGCCAGAGCAGAGTTTCTCGGGTACGCATGTTCCATTCTTTTTCAAGTACCCTGGTATACAGTAACATCCGGGTTTGTGGCATATAAGTGGGCAAATTTCGATTTTCGGATCTCCGCAATTAAGGGGACGACATGGTTGACACTCGTAGTAACACTCGAATGGACCACAGACATCTGAAAATATATCTATTAATAAAATATATGGATCAACGTATGTAAAAGACACTCAATTTAATATAAAACTCTTTGAATTTAGTTAAAAGTTTAGCTAAAAATTAAAAAACGAACCACAGAATTTTTCGGGAACACAGATTCCATGCTTCCTTAAATAACCTGGTTTGCAGTAACACCCTGGTTTCTGGCAGAGGGCGGTACAAATTTCCGTCGGTTTATCTCCACAGTTGATTGCGCCGCAAGGTTGGCATTGGTAGTAAACTTCGTTTTTGTAGCAGGACACTGAAAAAATTAATAATTCTTTGTCTTCTTTCAGAGGAATGAAAATATCCCATTCAGAAGTATGTAATTTTCTAATTATAAGCAAATATTTGTAATAAGAACTGCAATCCTAATATCTGAGATAATTTCAAATAAATTTGTGTCAAATAGTGTTATATTTATATACAGGGTGTGCCATTTAACACTCCCGCTGCCAATATCTCCGAAATGAAGAAATTTATTTTAGTTTCGAAAATTGTGGTTGTTAGATCCCTCGAATAGCTTCAAATTGTAGTTAGAATTGTTAGTTCAAATCTTTCTGTAGAGATGGCGTGACGATACTAAACAATTTTTTGTTCCCTGGAACGTGGAAATACAGTCCATCTGAAAGATCGTTAAAGAAAATACGGGACCATTGGGCAAATTTTACAAATTTTTTTTTGTACGCAGTTTTTTCTACTTCCTGAACCGAAATTATGAAAATTTATCATATTTTGCATAAAAAAGGTACTCTTATTAGATTTTAATAGCATGAACCGTTTCTAGTAAAATCCATTTTAATAATTCATTACGTGCCCAAAAATTTCTGCTGAAAATAAATGTATCAAAAATATAACACTACCTTGTAATTAAAAATTTTAACCTTTCAGTTAATAGAATATATAAAAAAATCTCAGTCATACGAATAATTATTTTTCAATCAAATTTGATAATTACCATTAACACTATTACCATCCGTATCAGCTCGAGAATATACGAATACTAAAGACAACAGGACTAAGGCGCACATATACGGAGCACTGGTTATTTTCTCCATCTTTTTTTTTAAACCAGACACAATTTTACATGTCTTATATACGGCGATTCTTAATCCCAAAGCTAATTGCGGTAAATCTTTCAAATATAATAAATAACCACAAGCTAATATTTCGTAAAAGTACACTTTTGCTAAATACAATTAAATAAATATTAAGCAAAAACGCGCTTATCGTTTACGACTTTTGGTATAATCACCTGAAAGAATGCGCTGTTAGGCAATTCGAATTCTCATTATAGACAACAAAAGGCAGTAGACATAATTTATTACAATGAAGGCGAATGCCATATTCAGTACTTATTGTTAATCCTGAATTATGGCGAGTAGACCGTGGTTGATTGCAGCTCATGTCAATTCAATTTTTTTAGAAATCCAAGATATGATGAGACGATAATTTCAATATACATATTCTAGTCTCATTTGTGAATTTTTTTCGTGCGTAAATTAAGTATCATACAAATTTAAAAAAAAGTAGCGTAGAATTTGTTAAAATAAGGTTAATTAGTATCTGCTTATGTTGTTAAAAGATTTAGATATGAATAACAATAAGTTATTTATTTTAATATTTTGTTACTATGGTACTGTTGCATTGTACAATTGTACAAGGTGTCCTACTAATGTCGGCGAGGTACGATATACTCGTAAACGCAATTTGTTTGGATAATTAAATGTCTCTTCGTTAGCGTCGTGTTCCTCAATTCATTATCATTATTTATTTATTGCTCACTAATTTGCGAATAACTTGATAACAAAAAAAGATATCGAACCTTTTTTGGCGTCAAAATGTAGCCATTTTTATGCTCTTCAAACTAACCTATAAAAAGTTTTATCCTGCTATTTAACTTTTTTAAGAAAACGTGAAAGAACCTAAACTTGGATAGCGCCAATAAATAAACAACACTTTCGTTACAAATTTCAAACTTATACTATTTTCATCAATTTTTTGTGCTGAATTCCTTTATGTGAAGAAAACTATAGCATTGCATTTAAAATTTTTGAGGAAAATTAATAAAACGGCATTCTTTTGAAATAACGTCATCTATAGGTTTCCATGTTGAGGTAAATAACATTAATTACGCATTCGCCACTAGATAAAGCATGAAAAGACCTTTCCAACGAGGTATAACACTAGGGGCTTTTGATGAGCGAATCCTTAAAAAAATGAATTTTTCTGATCAGACATTAGGGGCTTCCCCCACCCTTTCTGTCGAGAGATGGAACAAAATGTCAATAACAAAAGTTATCAGTCAATCCGACTATTCATATTTGTACTATTTAATATACCTGAATAGGAAACATTTCTGAGAAAAATTCAACTCTATGTTTGGAATGTAGATTACGCCCCCTAGCGGCCGAGCTACGAACTTGAAAACTATTTCCAGCGATTTCTCTTGGTCGATTTATTAGTAAAAAAAAAATTTCCCGAAGCTCTAGGGCCTATACTTTTTCTAATATCGTATCTCGCCGACCTCAGTGGGACACCCTACATGTATAAAGTAATATTAGAATCTACTTTCTGTTACCTGGTTGATCTAGTGATATGATATGAGCAATATCTCCAGTAGGTTGATGTGTCATAATTTTAAATAATAAATAGGTAACTGCAATTACTTGGAAAAGGTAGATAATTATCATTATTAGATAGATAGGCATCAGACGCTTGAAAAATAATTATAAATAGACCCCTTGTTGCATCTCTAATTAATAAACATTATCTTATCTTTAGAATTTCCTCTATCCTGATTGGCTTTTTTTGTTTAAAACATTTGAAGGTGTTTTAGAAATAGATTAAAATCTTGCAAATCCTTAAATTATATCAAACAAACATCTGTGAGAGTTGCAGGTGGCTCCAGATGATGGAGTTAATTTCCAAGTATTCGTCAAACCTAAACAAGTGACGAGTCTTTCCTATAAAGTTTTTATCTAGACACTTCGTTAAAAAGTGTTAAACTTCAAAAAAATATTTTTAATTTTTTTAAATAATTTAAAAACAAAAGCCGGGACGCGTAGTCATTTATTTATTAGTTCTCGGAACAGATGGGCCAAAAAGTAAAATATTTCAGTCAACACAAAGTATCGAAAGTTAAGAGTTTCAAGTAGGTAGCGTCGTCCTTCGGAGAAATGTAGCAATATTTTTAACAAGTTCACTTAGAGTCGGGGCCATGTGACAGTTATCTGTTGCGTCTGGGAGGAGCCAGCGTAGAAACCCATATTTTTAATAACGCGCGAAATCACGAGATGAGCGTAGAGGTTCCAAAGTAGAATTAAATCAAATTGTTAAATTGATAGTAATTGGAAAAGAAAGGAACAGATCAAGTAGCTGGTTTTTTGACGGATTTTCCAAGCTATAAGAGTAGATTAAATGAGATCGACTAATCCGTTCCGTATTTGCTACACGGAGTCGCTAGAGGAAGGCTAGGGTTACTTGTAAGTCACATAATTATTTAGACAATTATAAAATCAGTCAATTAGATAACGATTAACATGGCATAGTTATGCCAAAGCATCCCGACATTCAGGGTTCCCGCCTATAAGATAAGAACAGAAACTTCTGGACCCAAGAAATGGGCGGGTCGAAGCGAAGTGTCGAATTCAGGAGAAATATCCGAAAAAAGGGCAGTTCTTCCTAATGTTTCACATTGAGCAGTCGACCTAGTTTTAGAGTTTCGGGCTAGTTAATTAAATTTAATAATGGATAAAGTTTTTTCCAAATTTTGCTATGGAGCGCGCATTCCCTGATTCTTGGTACGCTATCGCGTGTAAATAAATTAATTAATAATGTTGTTCGAGCCGTTGTGTTATTTTGTTTGTTTTTTGTTTCTCTCAACTTCAGTGCCATCCTGTATAGCCAGCCACTGGATTACGTTCTACGTAAGCAATAGAGGGTAAGTGCTTGAAATTCATTCTCTGAACATACAACATTTCTAAGCTCCCATGTATTAATTAAAGTGTTATGATAATTATAAACTCCCTTTCGAGAATTAAATAGTAACTCTTGTGAAATCCAGACTCTTTATGATACTGATCAAAACGATACATAGATAGATAAAAAAAATAACCCCTCAGGTTACACTTGTAAGTGAAAAAATTTGAAATTGGGTACATGTAGGTACGTAAACATTGTCCAAAATCTAACGGCTGTTCCTAAAATTTACATGCTACAGTGGCGGAGATACAGGGTATCGGTGGCATATTTTTCTAAATAAAGTAGTACGCCACTGCTTTACGGTAGCAACCATGATATTTTCGGATTCGCCTTTCAATTTTCTACAAATTACTCTCTTATGTTTTTCGAAAGAAAACACATGATATTTGAATATAATGCTTTTTAAAATTACATAGTGGGTTGCGATAGCAACTATGACATTCTGAGCAGTTAGAAGAAAAAATAAATTATGCTTTTCATTAGATTCAAGCAACAATAAATTTCGAACAAATTACATTTTCGTTACTAAAAAGATGTCGGGCCTGTGCTCGGGGAAATGGAGATATTTTTGAGGATTTATTCAAATAAAATCATTAAAATGATGTTTATCAACCTGTTGTATCTGTTTAACGAATCGTCCTAGATAAAAACATTAAAGGAAAGACTCTCCTTAAAATTCACCAAAGAATACGAAGTTTCATTGGTCACCATTTGTGAATCACCCTGTATATAGTTGTACACATTTTCTACTGTATCAGCAATTGTTTGGTGGACTTTACATTTCTTACGCTTTCAGTTTTGCCTTATTACTTCATCTTAAAATCTTCGTATTCAAAATAAAACACAATAATGCTGTAGATATAATATTTATGTTATAAGCGATTATAATAGGTACCCATATTTATTTTTTTCAAATTTAAATTATTTGTTAAATACAGCCAGGACATTCGTGTTTGGGTACGCAAGTTCCATTCTTCTTCAAATATCCTGGTAAACAGTAGCATCCTGGGTTTTGGCATATGGCTGTACAAATTACGGGATCTTTGTCTCCGCAATTCACAGGAGTACATGGTTGACAATGGTAATAACACTCGTTGGGACCGCAGACCACTGAAAATAACAATTACGAAACTATTAGAATCAGTATTTTGAGTTATGGTTAGGACTAAAAAAAAGAGAGGTAAGAGTATATTGTAGTTTGAACAATTTAAAGCGGAACACTCACAGTGGCAATATTGTCTTTATAACAATATTATACAAAAGATTTAAATACTAAAAATCTTCAGCCTTTGAGAATTTAATTTTACTAATATTTTTTTTTAACAAAGAGCCGTACTTGAATAATTCTTGATGACTATGGATATGTATCCGAAATTCAATTAAATCAAACAAAAAAAATCATCACTGGTCAATATATTTGCTTAGTAAAGTTATGAAGCATTTATTTTCCGAAAATTTTGCATTTGGTAACACATGAACATTTGACAAAGAACTCCTCAATTATTTATAATACACACTTACCACACTGACTGATCTGCGAAGCTCCAGAATATGCTAATACCACGAAAAGCAAGGCAATGGTGAATATGTACTTCATGTTGATTATTTTCGTCAACTTCGGAATACTGCAGACTGTTTCAATTTTTCATGTCTTATATACTGTTACTTTTAATCTCAAAGCTAACTGTAATAAATTTTTTAAATTTAATAAAGTCCTGTTCAGATATTTCGTAAAAACACATATATTTGCTTTTGTTAATTGCATTTAAACAAACATTATGCAAAACACATAATGTGCAATGAGGGAAATCGGCGTTCCAAGTTTGCCGAGACAATCAGCATTATAAAGAATTGTTTTACTGTTACCAGGCTAAAAACGAATTATTTTCCTAAAACTATTTTACCTAAGATGAAGACCATTTGATCATTGGTGAAGCTTTGTTAGAATTAATCACATTCTACTTATGAAGGAAACAAACTTTCCTTTAGCGTTCCGTAGTATTTGATTTAATTTCTAAAAGTGCTTGGAAAATCTTATTTCACAAAAAACAAACACTCATTTTTCGTAAAATGGCCCGCCTTGAATTGCCTAGGAGTTCTGAGAGGGGCTCGGCCCCCACAGAAACTAGCCCGAGATCAAGTGCAGGCCAA